TCTCACCGTCGTCGTTGTCGTCCTGGCCACGTCGCCATGTCGTCGCCATGTCGTCGCCATGTCGTCGCCATGTCGTCGCCATGTCGTCGCCATGTCGTCGCCATGTGGTCGCCATGTCGTCGCCATGTGGTCGCCGTGTCGTCGCCATGTCGTCGCAATGCCGTCGCCAAGCCGTCGCCATGTGGTCGCCGTGTCGTCGCCATGTCGTCGCAATGCCGTCGCGATGCTGTCACCATGCCATGGGCATGTCGTCGTCATGTCGTCGTCATGCCGTCGCCATTTGCACCAACTAAGCTTGCCACAGATCCCCTGGTACATACTAGAAACCTCTGCCCACAGGCTTCTAGAATCTAGATAATATATAATTATATATAATTACACATACAGCATAGAGTACATGATCTGGTTTTGAGGGAAAAACATCTTGCGTAAGTGATCATGCGTCGAAAGGATCTGCTATTTTTTTTCGTATTTCAGCAGCAAAATGAACATCAACTATTTGATTGCTTGACAGGATTAGCATTCACTATGTGTCAAATGCACCCCGTTTTCTGGCTGGTATGCATAGTTTGCCAGATATACATTGATGGGAACAAAAAAACTAAAACCCGTTTCTTGTTTGAAATAAATCTGAGTTAATCATTGCCTTCCAATGCGTGTTTCTGAAATCCCTATTTGTGTCAGAAATATCAAATGAATCTGGATCAATTATACTAATTCAATCTAATTCACCCGCCTGAAATAGGGCCACACCACTTGTTTCGGACTCCCAGCCGACCTGAAATAGGGCCATCGTTGGATAGTTACCCTTACTAAACCATCATTCTAGTGACATTGAGACTTGAGGACGCCACAACTCAGCCAGAAAGTCCCGTTATGTCCCCATTGTACAATACCACCCTGTTTGTTGGTCAAATAGACCATTTTTGTTGGTTGTATAACTGTAGCAATGCCACTCAAATAGTGATAACCCATTAAAACCCATGTTTGTTAGTTAAAAATCTCATTAAATCCCATAGGATCCAGCTTTGCATATCTGTTGACTCTCTCTTTGGCGGTAGCACGAAAATTAATGAGAGCTCTCCGTAAACTCACCATTTTTGGCTGTGAAATTCCCCCCTAAAAATCACCCAATGTTTGTTGATTTTGCTTTCTGTTACCCTCTGGTAAATTAATAAAGCTATTGAAAATGGCCATTGAAATAGTGGATTTTCCCATTAAAAATGGTGATTTTCCATTGCTATGTTAGTTCACCAGAGGGTAATCAATGAAATCACCATTATATGTCTGTTGATTAATGTTTGCATCCGATTAGTGTGAGGGGGCCCCCCCCCCCACCCTAAACAATTTGAGGATACTCTATAACTCGCACTTTTTTTTGCCCCCCCCTCAACATTTTTTTGGTCAATCAACTTAAGAAAGGATTTCAATTTATTTTCAATTGATTTCAATTTACTTTCAATTGATTTCAATTTACTTTTAATTGATTTCAATTTACTGTCAATTTACCTTCAATTGATTTCAATTTACTTTTAATTTACTTTCAATTGATTTCAATTTACTTTCAATTGATTTCAATTTACTTTTAATTTACTTTCAATTTACTTTCAGTTTACTTTCAATTGATTTCAATTTACTTTTAATTTACTTTCAATTTACTTTCAATTTACTTTTAATTTACTTTCAATTGATTTCAATTGATTTCAATTGATTTCAATTTACTTTTAAATTACTTTCAATTTACTTTCAATTGATTTCAATTTACTTTTAATTTACGTTCAATTTACTTTCAATTGATTTCAATTTACTTTTAATTTACTTTCAATTTACTTTCAATTGATTTCAATTTACTTTCAATTGATTTCAATTTACTTTTAATTTACTTATTTTTTTTTTCACTCCCAAAAGTTGGTGCTCACAATAGAGTACCATCCAAACAATTATATTATTGAGTAACTGAGCCACTCATGAGGTATCCCCTTGAAAAATTGTCTGGATGCTGTTTTTTAATAAGGGTTTAATAAGGCATCTAATTATTTGGGAAACCTTGCATTTTAAAGTTTTATCACAACTATGGCTTTCTAAAGTGAAAGGACCAGCTTTACCCAAAGAAAGGTGGAGAAAGGGTTTCGTTTTTTTTTTCACTCCCAAAAGTTGGTGCTCACAATAGAGTACCATCCAAACAATTATATTATTCAGTAACTGAGCCACTCATGAGGTACCCCTTTGAAAAATTGTCTGGGTGCTGTTTTTAAATAAGGGTTTAATAAGGCATCGAATTATTTGGAAAGCCTTGCATTTTAAAGTTTTAACACAAATATGGCTTTCTAAAGTAAAGGGACCAGCTTTACCCAAAGAAAGGTGGAGAAAGGGTTTTGCTTTTTTTTCACTCCCAAAAGTTGGTGCTCACAATAGAGTACCATCCAAACAATTATATTATTGAGTAACTGAGCCACTCATGAGGTACCCCCTTGAAAAATTGTCTGGATGCTGTTTTTAAATAAGGGTTTAATAAGGCATCTAATTATTTGGGAAAACCTTGCATTTTAAAGTTTTATCACAACTATGGCTTTCTAAAGTGAAAGGACCAGCTTTACCCAAAGAAAGGTGGAGAAAGGGTTTCGTTTTTTTTTCACTCCAAAAAGTTGGTGCTCACAATAGAGTACCATCCAAACAATTATATTATTCAGTAACTGAGCCACTCATGAGGTACCCCTTTGAAAAATTGTCTGGATGCTGTTTTTAAATAAGGGTTTAATAAGGCATCTAATTATTTGGGAAAGCCTTGCATTTTAAAGTTTTAACACAAATATGGCTTTCTAAAGTGAAAGGGACCAGCTTTACCCAAAGAAAGGTGGAGAAAGGGTTTTGCTTTTTTTTTCACTCCCAAAAGTTGGTGCTCACAATAGAGTACCATCCAAACAATTATATTATTGAGTAACTGAGCCACTCATGAGGTACACCCTTGAAAAATTGTCTGGATGCTGTTTTTTAATAAGGGTTTAATAAGGCATCTAATTATTTGGGAAACCTTGCATTTTAAAGTTTTATCACAACTATGGCTTTCTAAAGTGAAAGGACCAGCTTTACCCAAAGAAAGGTGGAGAAAGGGTTTCGTTTTTTTTTTCACTCCCAAAAGTTGGTGCTCACAATAGAGTACCATCCAAACAATTATATTATTGAGTAACTGAGCCACTCATGAGGTACCCCTTTGAAAAATTGTCTGGATGCTGTTTTTTAATAAGGGTTTAATAAGGCATCTAATTATTTGGGAAACCTTGCATTTTAAAGTTTTATCACAACTATGGCTTTCTAAAGTGAAAGGACCAGCTTTACCCAAAGAAAGGTGGAGAAAGGGTTTCGTTTTTTTTTCACTCCCAAAAGTTGGTGCTCACAATAGAGTACCATCCAAACAATTATATTATTCAGTAACTGAGCCACTCATGAGGTACCCCTTTGAAAAATTGTCTGGATGCTGTTTTTTAATAAGGGTTTAATAAGGCATCTAATTATTTGGAAAGCCTTGCATTTTAAAGTTTTAACACAACTATGGCTTTCTAAAGTAAAGGGGCCAGCTTTACCCAAAGAAAGGTGGAGAAAGGGTTTTGCTTTTTTTTTTCACTCCCAAAAGTTGGTGCTCACAATAGAGTACCATCCAAACAATTATATTATTGAGTAACTGAGCCACTCATGAGGTATACCCTTGAAAAATTGTCTGGATGCTGTTTTTTAATAAGGGTTTAATAAGGCATCTAATTATTTGGGAAACCTTGCATTTGAAAGTTTTATCACAACTATGGCTTTCTAAAGTGAAAGGACCAGCTTTACCCAAAGAAAGGTGGAGAAAGGGTTTCGTTTTTTTTTCACTCCAAAAAGTTGGTGCTCACAATAGAGTACCATCCAAACAATTATATTATTCAGTAACTGAGCCACTCATGAGGTACCCCTTTGAACAATTGTCTGGATGCTGTTTTTTTAATAAGGGTTTAATAAGGCATCTAATTATAAAATTAAAAATCTAATAAACATAAATAATTAGAAAAAAAAATAAAAAAAATAAAAAAAGTTAAAGCATTTGGAAAAAGAAAATGAAAAAAAATCTGGAAAAAATCTCATCTGGAAAAAAATCTCACAATAGAGTTCCCCCCCAACAATTTGCATGTGACTGAATTAGGAGCAAGAAATTTCTCACAATAGGGTACCAGGACACTAATCGGGTGCAAACATTAAATAGTTTTATGGTTGTGGGTCAAAACCTATTATATATTACCATATGACTGGAGGAAAAAAAACACTCCATCGACCAGCTATGATTTAGGGTACCATCCGGGTACCAGGGTTTTGACGATGGTTGGTTTATGATTATAGTCCTTTCATATGGATCTTAATCATCAAACGTATGAGGATAGAAGTGTATATAACTGATTTTGGTGACTGAACCCCTGTTGGTTAAGTTAACAACTATGGATATTATCCCATTACATCATTACATCACATTAAATCCCATGAAATACCACTAAAATCCACATAAAAATCCCATTAGTTACTCTATCTATATATATATATATAAGTTCTATAACCTATACGATTCTATAAGTCTATATGTCAATCAATTAAATCACCATATCTTTCTATATGGGCATTTCCTGAAATGGGGGTACCATTTTCATCATCTATTTTAATAGGATTTTCCATTAGAAACTATCCAGCTATTGGGATCCCCCATGGCCATGGAAACCCCCATATGAGTAGCGTCCCGGAGGTACAGGGTCGTCCCCTATCGGTTATGAAGGTTTTGTGCAACCTCGGAAAGGCCAAGGCAAAGCAAAAACTAAATTAGTATTACCAGAAATTTTATCGGTTACTCATATATCCATCATACTCAAAAAAAAACATCAAAAGTCCATTAAAAAATCTCATTAAATCCCATTAAAACCCATGTTTGTTGGTTAAATCTGGTTTTCAAATCGTTGATCCCTTAGGATCCAGCGCCAAGCAGCTCTTGTGCGCCTCCAGAGGAGAAGAGATGGTGAGCCGCGCCGCGGAGTCGCGGTTCAGAATGTAGACCTGCCCGGGGAGTGAGTTGTGCGATGCGTTGATGGAGAGCCTTCAAAGTGGTCGATGTATCAATAAGGGTGCAGAATAGTTTTGGCATTTTTTTTGCCACAGGTTTTGGATGTTTTAATGGGTAAAATGATGATAATAATGATATCAATGGGTAAAATGATGATAATAATTATGATAAATGATAATGATAGTGGATAATAGAATGATAACAATAGTGATTAGTGGTAATGATAGTGGTAATGATAGTGGTAATGATAATGGTAATGATAATGGTAATGATACTGGTAATGATAATGGTAATGATAATGGTAATAATAATGGTAATGATACTGGTAATGATAATGGTAATGACAATGGTAATAATAATGGTGATGATAATGGTAATGATAATGACGAGAATATCAAGGCTATTAATGGTAATAACGGTGATAATAATGATATAATGATTATACAGGTGATAATAAAATAGTGGATGATTCGTAAATATAGTGATAATATGGTGATATACCCTCTTAAGCCATAATAATACAGTGATTTTCGCTTGTGAATTAAACATAGTGGATAATGATAAAGGAATAGTGAAATAATGATAATGATAATTATAGTGATGATAATAATGATTAAAGACAATGATAATGATAGTGGATAATAAAATGATAATAATGTTGATAAGACCAGAATGTATCTATATAAATGATAATCTATGGGTATGAATGATGATAATGATGGATTAGTGATAATGATAACGATAATCACGATATTATCAAACATATCAATGGGTAGATGAATAAGGGTAGTGAACATATCTAAATTAATTGTAATAATAATGGATTAATGATAATCATGATGACTAATGAACGATAATCTATATACTCTGATGGAAAACATATTTATTTTGGGATACCCGGTATGGTAAATCATGGTTGAATGATGTTGAATGGTTAATTTGGGTGATTCACCACCGTTAAAATCTTTATGAATAGTGAATTTAATCACCATTTATGATGAATTGCATCGGTTCATTAATTTCCAGTGATAGTGATGGAAACATCATGATACCACCGGCCAATCGTGGTTAATAATGATTCATAGTGGTCAATGGTGATGCATGGTGATATACCCTCCAGTAAATTGACATAGACCCAAAAAGTGACCATTTTTTGGTGGAAACTCATCTCCCAACCACGACTCATGCCAGGGTCTATGTTAATTTACTGGAGGGTATATTATGAATAAATCCATAGTGTTCATTGGGAATATAATGGGATATAGCCTCTGGTAATTTGATACATAGAAATGGCTTAGTCATGAATATTCCAGTTTCATCCCCTGTTCATATTAGCCACCCACAGTGCCATTGTGGCAAAGTACACTATCTTTTTATCACATGGTTAGGAAACTCTATTCATGGCTCCAACTACTTACTGGTGCTAAACGTAGGGAATTTTCGGGAATGATCCAAAATCACTGGCCCCCAGCAACCCATCCAGCAACCCTACGTAAAACGCACCAGTAAGACTAGCTACCCTGAGGCTCAAAGTTGGTGCCATATGGCCCTAGCTCAGCTCACCCCGCTGTTCACGGAAGTATGATTGGATTTGGCTAGGATTTGGATCGTCAAATGAAGCCTCTTCACCTGCAAAAAATGGATGTTGATGGAATTTTGGTGGGATGTTACTGATTGATTACCCTCTGGTAAACTAACATAACTATGGAAAATCACCATTTTTAATGGGACAACTCACTATAAATGGCCATTTTCAATAGAAAACTGTTAAATTACCAGAGTGTAATGATTACTTAAACTTAGGAGGTCTGGATTCGGATTCTAGCTTGTCAACTATAGATGGGATCAAATGGATAAAGATTCTTATGGATTTATACTAACATATATCACACATTTAACCTAATACAAAAAAATATATGATGACAGGATTTGGGATTTCAGGGATTTTCATTTATATGTTCATGTGTTTTTGACGGGTTATAAAGAGAGGTTTCCGAAGTGATTGGGGTACCCATTTAACATCCAAGTCATTAAACCATGACTTAGTATTGAAACCCAAATTTCCACGTGGGAATCCCCATGACTTAAGAAACACCCATATGTACATATATATATATATATCAGTAACATAGATGATTAAGACATCAAGTATCAACATGAAGTATCATTAACTATCAACATGAAGTAATATGAATTATCAACATTAAGTCAAGTTAGTCAAGTATCATGAACTATCACTCATTATCACCAACTATCACTAACTATGGCTTTAAGATGGTATAAGAAAACCCCAAATGTCGTAATCCAACTGCTGGACTCGGTCTCTCTTCGGCCGGGATATCCGAACGAACTTCTGCTTCTCGATCGCGCCAATCATCACAGCACCTAGCGCTCCACGAAATGGAGGTTTTAATGGGAACATATGAAAAAAAACATGTTTCTGGTTGGTGGTTGACCTGCCCCTCTGAAAAATATGAGTTCGTCAGTTGGGATGATGATTATTCCCAATATATGAAAAAATATAAAATGTTCCAAACCACCAACCAGGTTTAATTGCCATACGGGAGGGTAATTCAGAAGCAAACACACAAAGAGTTCAACAAAAGTATAGTGAAAAAAACACATTTTACATGCTATAGCAGGATTTCACTTGTCTGTAATTTTGGGAGTGTGTAGATGTTTGTGGATGTTTGTAGCTGTTCTGGAAGTTTCACACCATACTTGGTAAACAAAAGATTACTGCTGAAAGTCACAAAATGTGTACAATGCTTGTGAATGTTTGTTACTTAAATCAGATCCCGTTGTGTAGGTTGAAAAGCGGCATTTTTGTTTTTGTGTAAAAAATCCCTATATGGATGTCATGTGATATTCCTGCATTTGTGGCTAAAAGAAACAAACCATTTGCACTCACCCTGCAGCAAGGTTTACCATGGTTTACCCACATCAAACTGACCCTGTCACCGCTTAGCTTGGTGCTTTGGCATCTCAAAATTCTCAGTGAAATCCCCAAATTCTCAATGTTCAAACACCATGACGACCTGATGAACTCCTTGAATCCGGTTGAATCAATGACTGAGTCACCATAAATGGGTTTGTCTGAAAATAGGGTATATTCCCAATTTAATAGCCATTTATAATAGATAATGATCATTAACCATTGGCTTTAGGGGTTTTCACGACATTTTCAGACACACCCAAATTCTCAAAAATTCACCATGACGACCTGATGAACTCCTGGAATCCGGTTGAATCAATGACTGAGTCACCATGACTCTCATCACTGGTGACTTTTCCAAAAATCCCTTGGAAATGTCCTCGAAATCTCCTGGGGCTTCACCTCCCACCTGGTATTCAGCCCCGGAAGTTCCCTCCAGGCTCCCCAACGGCCCTTGGGATCTACTGCCAGGTACTGTCCGGGCCTGGATGTTTTTCTGCGATTTGAAGATTCAATGGATTGGTTTCAGGGAAAATCTATAGAATCTTAACCGGAAACCATCGATTTTCCCATGAAATATGGATAAGTATAGAGCTTTCCGGTATTTTTTCACCCTTAAACCAATCCATTGATGGAATTCTTCTTGCCCTATGGATTCGACCAACCTGGAGATTGATCTTTTGACCTATGGGATTTCGCCAAGCTGCAACGGTCACTTTCCATTGGGCCCTTCCAAGCAGTTTGAAGATCTCAAGGTCATTCCCGGGAAAAAAAAAACATTCAAGATGTGTGGGTGTTGCAAATAAAGTGTTGACCCAAACCCACGTTGACACAAGTTAAACCATATCAAGCCATGTATCAGGGTTCAAAAAAAACGGGGGGAGGAGTTGTGCAGAGGATTTTGATAGGTACAAGACACAAAGCATCCGGTCTGCAACTACAAAATTGGATGCATGGTCCCATGTTTGCAACTACAAAATACAGAGCACAACTTGATTTGATTCCGAAAACAATTCAAGATATGCACAACTACAAAATACAAATGAGGATTTTAAATAAATCCAACTCCACTTTTTTGTACAAAACGACCCCTGGCTGGCAATCTGTACTGTAGCCCAAGTCCTCCCTTTTATGTAGCTGTTATTTGATCCCGGATAGCCATGTAATATCATGTAATCCTATATACATGTATATATATATATATATGAATGTATATATATATATATGTATGTATTCACATATATATATTATATATATATATATATTATATATATATATATATATATATATGTATTCATATAACGGTATGCGAGATGTCCTTATAATGTCCTGGTGTCATACGAGATCCGAAAAACCGAGCGGAACGAAGTTTCACCGGGGCACACGATGCGGCGGCAGCCCGTTTTGCCGAAGGTCTCTTGATGGACCTTCTCGAACCTCGGTGGTTGGGTTACCCTCTGGTAATTTGTTACAGTTTTCTATTGAAAATGGCCATAGAAATAGTGAGTTTTCCTATGAAAAATGGTGATTTTCCATAGCTATGTTAGTTTACCAGAGGGTTACCAGAAATGCGGAAGAAAACATGGTTGGTTTAGAACGGAAAATCCGTTCTAATGAAATGGATGATCTGGGGGTAGCCCCATTTTCAGGAAGTCTCCAAGATACAACAGCATGCATGAAAAATGCAACAAACTGGATGGAATTGGTATGTTTGTTCGCTCCAAGATACATGTGGGAGAAGTCAATCTTGTTTGGCAATTTGTGGTTTCTTTAAAAACAAAAAACTAAGTCTCAGAAGCGTTCTGAAATCCCGAGCCCGAGCCATATACTCTCCTTCCCGATGTGCAAAATCTGGGCCTGTACTTCCAGGAGCCCCAAGAAACACAATAGAAACCTCACAACACCCCACATGGGTATGGGTCAAAATTATATAGGTACCCCAATAATTGGATGGTTAATACTAAACTAGACTAACATCTGTGGTCCCCTAGGTCTTCCATTTTGACCCACATCCACATCTTGTTCCTTGTCTATACCTGCCATCACACGTGTGATTTTTGCCACAAGGAAACTGATCGATCAATCTCCCACACTCTCATGACTCGCAGTTGCTGCCCGATGTCTGGGCAAGACATAATACCAAGACCCCCTCTAGAACGCATTATTTATATTTGTATGACTATAGAATATCATAATAATATATATATACATATACATATAATATATATATAGGGCTTGGTCAGTCGGCGAAGTCTTCTGGTATCTCCTGCAAATGCTCGTCCAATTCTGCGACTTGCATGGATGAATATTAAAAAATTGGCTCTCCCCTTGCCCCAAAAGACACCCATCAACCCATCTCAGCCAGTGGCATATTCTTGGTACCATCATACTCTAGGATGACGATCCTACCAGAGTCAGACGCCACTACCTGGCAGCGAAATGGTAGAAATGCCGAGGTAGCCGCGAAAGAGGAATGAAAGCAGAGTGAGAGGCTCCAAATGTCACAAAAATCTGAGCGAGTGTGTGTGTGTGCTTTTTTCCATGTTTATCTGGTTGGTGGTATACCTACCCCTCTGAAAAATATGAGTTCGTCAGTTGTTCACCTTATTCCCAACTGAATGGAATGTCATAAAATTCCATGGTTCCAGTCACCACCAACCAGATATATCTATCTATACACTTTCCAGTAATTGTATCCTATTATATTCCAGAATATTCCATCTTAGATAAACCCATCTTAGATAAGATGTCTGGTTCAGCGCTCAGAACTAGGTCCAGTCCGTTTTTGATTTGAAGAGTTTCCCAAGGATGTCGTCCCACAGAACCTCCCCAAAAATGCCACGAAAATGGGACGGCGTGCGGCTTTGCCAGGCAAAAAGCCGGGTTTAAAAAACAAAAAACTGAAGTTGAATTCTGTTGGAGATTTTCCGCTGATTTTTTTGGTTCAACATACCCTCTGGTTATGTCAAAAAAGCTATTGAAAATGACCATTGAAATAGTGGATTCTCCCATTAATAGTATGGTGGATCTGTCCATAGCTATTTTGACATAACCAGAGGGTAAATTAACATAGCCATTGAAAATGGCCATTTATAGTGGATTTTCCCATTAAAAATTGTGATTTTCCATAGTTTTTTGTATGTTTACCAGAGGGCAATTCAACTTCCAATCGAAGCAACATCCCCAAAATCCCCAAAGCAACGCCGATGCCACGATGTAGTCCCGGCTGGCCCCTGTCAGGCGGAAGGGATTCAGCGCGCGGATGACGCCAAAGATCTCCTTAAGGGGCCGATGAAAAAAGATGCCGGGCGAAGCCATGAGTTTTATATGAGTTTTGTATGGAATATATGGGTTATACATAGGTTATATATGGAATATATGGAATATATGAATACCACTTAAAAAATGAGTTCTACAATGAACAACAACTTGAGACTACAATGAACTATATGTGACTATAATAGTGACTATATGGGACTATAATGGACTATCATGAAATACAATCCCACTTAGTGAATGAGTTCTACCCCCGAGTTATATGGAATATCCCTACTTGTGGGACTATAACGGACTATATGGGTTATAAATGGATTATAAAGTCACCTACTAAGTGGGACGCGCATCCAAGAATGAGTTATACATATATTTTTGTATTAATACCATGGTACATACATGGTGAAGATTTTCTGGTTTTAGTAACCATTAGGACCATGGTACATAAATGGAATATCATTCATATACACTGATAATACATATATACCAAAAAAAAACATGCATGATGTTGGTAGAGCAATAGGATGCACCCCAATTTTACCATGTTTATGGCTGGTAGCCATGAACATATTCTGGTGGTGAAGACATTGTTTTACCAACGTAACCATTCCCGGCTTCGTGGTGATTGATGTTCCTTTGGGTAATGTTTGGGGTAAATGTTGACAGAAAATTCCATACATGGAGCATATGGCACAGTGAGGTTGGTGGTTTAATGTTGTATAAACCCGTTTGAAAGCATTGTCAATCGAGATTATCATTCCAAATAGGAGAGTTTGCACATGTTGCAAAGCACCAACCAGCAGTCAATGCAGTTATATAGGATACCCTCTGGTAAACCAACATAACTATGGAAAGATCAACCATTTTTCATGGATAAATCCACTATAAATCACCATTTTCAATAGCTTTTTGTATGTTTACCAGAGGGTAAAACCTGTCAAAACCCCATATCCAAATCAAGTTGGATTCCTGGTGTATTCCATCACCAACTCCTATTTTAGTCCATTGATTCAGAGATTTTTTTGGCAGAAAAAATGTTGGAAATTTCATAAAAGTCATCAAAGAATCACAGCCTATAAATATAATTATATATATAACTATAGCAACCATAGCAATGATTATCATAATATATATATATATATGTGTTAGAATATATATATAATCACCCTGAAGTAGATAAGAATATGAAAATGTCACAAAAAACATCCTCCCATTTTTCGGATTGAAAGTCATCATCATTTCATCACATCTCCATCACAATGACTCCAATATCCCTTGCCCACCGTTGCGCCCTGTGTAACGGTGGAAGCCAAGTCTCTATTGACAGAATGCTTTGAACCTTTCCCGAGTCATCGGGCCTTCAGGAACGGGGAGCAACAGAGGGAAATGTGCGATCCAAGACTAGACCAAGCATGCTCTTTTTGTTGGTTGAATATGCAAATTGTGATTAACTGTACGTATATATATATATGATTATACATATACATAAATATATCTATATTTCTATATATACATATATATATACATATATATATGTATATATATATACATACATACATATATATATATATATGTATATACATACATATATATATACATATATATATGTATATATATACATACATGCATATACAGGCATATATATATGTGGTTGCTAACCATTCTAGTGTACTATATAGTAATCCATTGTAGTATTACAAAATTGCGGTAACATTGTGATTGTAGTCGAATTGTAGTGATAGCTGGATCGGCGCAGTACTTGGATCCGCAGACATTGAACTGAGAAGTCCAAAATCTACACATATTAGACATGTGTATATGTATGTATAATAATATTGTATAATTACAATCATTATTGTCATGATCATCATTATTATCATTGTCATCATTATTATTACTATTACTATATACAACACTATATAACTATACATAACTATATATATAATAATATATACATATATACATATCTATATAACTAAATATATACAACACTATATAACTATACATTACTATATACAACACTATATAACTAAATATATACAACACTATATAACTATACATTACTATATACAACACTATATAACTAAATATATACATATCTATATAACTATACATTACTATATACAACACTATATAACTAAATATATACATATCTATATAACTATACATTACTATATACAACACTATATAACTAAATATATACAACACTATATAACTATACATTACTATATACAACACTATATAACTAAATATATACAACACTATATAACTATACATTACTATATACAACACTATATAACTAAATATATACATATCTATATAACTATACTTACAATACAACACTATTCACTAAAAATACAGAGCGATATAACTATACATTACTATATACAACCTATATAACTAAATATATACAACACTATATAACTATACCTTACTATTACACCACTATATAACTAATATAATACAATCTAGATACTATACAGTCCTATATACACCTATATAACTAAATATATACATATCTATATAACTATACATTACTATATACAACACTATATAACTAAATATATACATATCTATATAACTATACATTACTATATACAACACTATATAACTAAATATATACATATCTATATAACTATACATTACTATATACAACACTATATAACTAAATATATACATATCTATATAACTATACATTACTATATACAACACTATATAACTAAATATATACATATCTATATAACTATACATTACTATATACAACACTATATAACTAAATATATACATATCTATATATATATGAGATGTATATCTATATATAAAGCATCCTGTCTCCCAGGAATCCCCACGGCATCTGTCACCACTTCTCCCGCCTTAAAAGTTCCAACGTCTTGTAGCGAGCGCACACAATCTCCTGATCGCCATGGGAGTTGGTGACCTGTAACCGTGACCTGTGAAAAACCAATGTTCAACCCTTCAACCAAAGCTACAGAAATATACGATGTATATAGAAATATATGTAATCATATATGTATTATATTGTATTATGTATATTCTATATATATATACATGATATATGTCATATTTCTTGGTGTTCTTTGTGTAACTACGTGTAAGTATAGTCCTAGACCCATGTTTTTTGGGTTTTAGTCCCATTTTTGCAGCTAAGATCGTAATGTGTGTTGACGAAGTTTTCTATCTGGGTGTGTCCAAATAAGTTTGAGACTCCACCAAAATGGAGGTTTGGGAAACCACCCAGACACCCCCCTCCAAAGAAGACCCGCTGTTTCCACCCCGTGCCACCAGGAGTATGTTTTCCCATCGGGATGGAGCTAGGAGACAAGGAGGGAGGCCACGATGATTAATTATGATGCATAATGGTTAATGCTTAAAAAAATGTCAATCATGATTCATCCTCTGGTGTCCAAAAATGATAAATCCAATTAAGCATTATCAACCAAGATAATAATAAATGAATGATAGTGCCAAAAATTGGATTCACCCAAAAAGGTCTCATAAAACGCAGCTGGAAAATCCATCCTGTAACGTTTCGATGATTTTCCCAGCTGCGATGGATCCTCTTCCAGATTCCAACCCATACAACGATGGCTAGTTGGGAGCAATTAGTAGTAGAACATCGTGGAAGTGCAACCCCATCATTAGTTGGAACATGATTAGAGGGGATTCAACATGATCTGGTTGGTGGTTTCAACATGTTTCAACCTACCCCTCTGCAAAATGATGGAGTTCGTCACTTGGGGCCCGATGATTCCCAACTGTTTCTGGAAGGTCATAATCCATTCCATGGTTCCAGTCACCACCAACCAGATTTTTTTCGCGGAACTGCAGCCCCAAGTACTTCAAGTTGATTCATGTTGAAAATTCGTCAAAATTCTGTCGGGTCTTAAGTTATTCGATGAATTTGCCCATACATGCCCACATAACACACCATCCGAAGCCATCCCAGCTGGTGCTTCGTAATCTGACGTCTTTTTATCCGTTGCTTCATGTCGTTCAGGTGGACGAACCCATCAGGATCCGATAGACACAAATTTTGGGTGTTTCTTAACCCCCGATTTCGGTGGATGGCTCGGATAAAAATCTGTAAGTGCCACCGTAGTCGTCTTCCTCTTTTATGATTAGTATACCTCTAATGAAAAAAGTACTTAGCAATGGACTGATCATCGATAAAAGCCCCTATGATTCTGTGGAAGTTTCTAAGGTATTCTCTGGATTCTCTGGTTTTTCCAAAAAAAAATGGCATTGGAAATCACCTCGTTTCTGTGTTCTTTTCCCTTGAAATGCCCGGAAATTTCTCATGGGGACTTCCCAGCTGTTTTTCATGACACCGCTTGCCAAATATCCATGAAGATCACGATCCAGAAATCATGTTCTTTCAAGCAAATAAGCATATATATATATTCCTATCTTTGATGGTTAGATATGGTTAGATATTCCCATTAACTGTTGGGGATAGCCATGTTAGATACCGCATTAATCGAATTGTATGTCCCTATCTGGTTGGTGGTATACCTACCCCTCTGAAAAATATGACTTCGTCAGTTGGAATGATGACATTCCCAATATATGGAAAGTCATAATCCATTCCATGGTTCAAAACCACCAACGAGTATACATATATATATATACACTGTATATTCCTATAAATATTTAGTATCCATTAAATAAGTTCAAATATGTTCAATCCATGATGTTCACCAGATTTCATGTTCCCATCCTCCCCGAGAAAAATCCCATGACTGTTCTCACAGAGCGATGACGTGCCTGAGCCTTCGGTGCGGAGAAATTGCCATAGATGGCATGCGTGATCTGCGGTGCTTCGGCTGCGGTTCTCCGTGGATATGGCGATTGAATGGTTGACAAAACAGAATCTTTCACAAGATTAGATATGATGAAGTCATGAATGGGAAAATGAGTGTGTTTTCAACCATGAGCATCAAACGACTTTGAGGTAGCCTATTTCCTGACAAAACCATATCCAACAGAAGTGATCATTAGGGTTCGTCTAAAATTTGGTGGATACCCTCTGGTAAACAGCCACATAACTATGGGAAATCACCATGCTATGAAAATGGGTATTCATCAACTATTTCTATGGCCATTTTCAATAGCAAACTGTAAACGTTTACCAGGCCGGGTAGCCCAATTCATGGCATCACCTTGTGGAAAATCCATGGGCGTCACGGTGATGCAAACCATGGGATTTGAACTTCCCTGGCCTTCTGGCCTTATGCTGAAACTAACTGGAAATTGGTGTCATGTGTATTTTCATGCGAAAAAAAAAAAAAGTCAGCTAAGTTCTTAGGCTTACAGAATTGTCGACCAAATTCATTTCCCCTGAATCTTATGGCCTCAGTACCTAGTTGCTCAGGTTGGGAAACCCTTTTGGGCCACATGCTGCCCCAATATGGATCTGTCATAAAATAGGGAGCCCCAAATGTTGATGGTTTATCAGTTAACCATCAGTTTCCCGTTAAAATTGCCACCTAGGGGGGCATACACCATGTCACCCCATAATACCATCTTGTTTGATACTATGGCTGTGTCCCATGATACTTCCCTAGTTGGAAGTATAACGGGTCGAGACCACCATTCGAAATTCGGTGGCGCAGATCAGTTTCCACATGAAAAAAATCCCATCAATAGTAAGTATTTTATTATTTCCAGTCATATATAATCCCCTTTAATTAATGGATAATAATCCCCTTTAATTAATGGATAATCATGGGATTCCTATATTATATATACATATTATATACATAGGTACTCGAATTTCCGAGCATTTTTCGACCGCTCATCCCAGTTGTACCAGCCATAGCTGTGCAGCTGTGCAGGGCCCTCCGCATTTCCACCCGGTCATCATGGCTGGAAGATTCACCATGGTTTTGCGATTTCCCCATACCTCTCTAAACAACCCCTCTGGTTATGTAACATAGCGGAACATGGTGCATAGAAATTTAGATGTTCGGGGGTTACTCTTCCCAACTGTTTCTGGAAAGTCATAATCCATTCCATGGTTCCAGTCACCACCAATCAATGGATTGATTTAATGGAAAATCATGAAAATCTATAGGAAACCAGAATTATTTTCCCATTAAATATGGGGGTTTTCCTGTAAATTTTCCCTTAAACCAATCCATTGAACCAAGCAGCTGATGATTTCCCCATCAACCCCGCAACAAATCATCCCTGAGCCACCGCGGAAGATCTTTGAAGCGTGAGATGGTAGAGCTTCGGCCTAGATTGAGAAAGACCCTGGTGCCATGGTCTTCGGTTGGGGATTTATGGGATTTAAATGGGGATTTATTGATGGTTATTCATGGTTAATATAATCTATAATCTATAATCTATATCTATAACCACCAACCAGATACCCTCTGGTAAATTAACAGTTCGACCCTGGCAGAAAACGGGGTTGGAAGACGAGTTTCCATTAAAAATTGGCTATGTTCAGGGTCTATGTTTATTTACCAGAGGGTAAATGGAGCATGGTAAGATACCTGCCAAACACACTTTTGCCGTTGAGAGAAAAAGATTAAGGTACTGAAGTATCGAAGCAAGGTTGACCCACTTAACATTAGTTAACTATGGAAATATCATGGACATATCATCATGGAATATAAAAATCCACCCTTCAGAGATGTTGTGTGTGTTTGTTTTGCCATGACAAATTGGGATGCAACTATAACATACTATAACTAGTAAAACGGAGGCAATGTATATAAAGGGCTTAGTAACAACCAATAACCGCTGAGAACGTCTAGTGAACGGTTGTTAAGCATCTGTCTGTGGGGGTGAAACAAATTGAAAGTGATGACTGGCCATGGGTTTTCTTCCCTGATGCTCTTTACCATTCCATCCCACAAACGACAAAGCTTGAAACGTCACAACAAAGTCCAGACCGAAGAAAACATGACCTAAGTATACCTAAGTATACCTAAGTATACCTAAGTATACCTAAGTATACCTAAGTATATCTAAGTCAAGCTTGATCCTTGACCCAAACATCTCAAAAAACTGCCGTCTTACCGTCTTGAAACACTCTTAGCTTCGCCAGAGTTGTGGGGTCCCATTGTTCATCCAAGGCGCATCTCTTCAGCGCCTCGCTTGCGAATGAGTCGGGGTTGGAAGATGAGTTAAACCACTATAAAAATGAGTCATGTTCAGGGTCTAGGTCAATTTACCCTCTCGGGGATATCGTACATGTCACCATGGTTTTTGGGTAGTGGTTCTTATGATTACTTTATTAGAAGTGAATGGGGAGACTACCAATGAAAATTGGAATTACAAGATCCCACATCCCATTGTTGCTGGAAAGCCACGCTTTTGAGGGTGATAACATCTTACAAAACCGCATAAGACCCTGAAACTAATGATGATTGGAGCTTTCACAATCATTGGGAATGATCAAACCATATAAACTAACACTTCGATGTAGCTTTAAACGCAAGGTTTTCCACATCTTTCTGTAAACGTTCACCCCCCAGGTATCAAACCATCTAAAACCCATGAAAGCAACTATATAAGACCGGGCTCATATCTATAAATTACTATATATATATATTGTATAAATATATGTAATATATATATATATATATCTCCCATCGAATTTTAGGGGAGACGTTGTGACCCCTGGTCTGTAAGGCATAAAAAAGATTCACAAGCTTGGGGCTATAGAATGAGGTTGCTGAGCTCCATTTTTCTCGAAAATAGCCTTAGCTACAAAATGCCCCTTCGTTTCAACAACCTTGACATAGGGGGAGGTTTTCCCTTGTTACAAAATGCCCCTTCGATTTCAACAACTGTATCATACAAGGACATACCCTTTGCCGCAAAATGCCAATCTCATTTTCAAGGACTGCATATGCAAAGGAACATCGTTGCTACAAAATGCAACGTTGTTTTCAACATCATCCACCAAGATTCATCAAGCATCATCATTCATCACAGATCAATATAGATCAATACAGATCAATACAGATCATGCATATTCATGCATCATCATGCAGAATTGTTCTGTTTGAATCTGCTTGGTCCTTTTCATTGTATTGCGGCAGCTCTGCAACGGATTGCTTGAACCACATCTAAGCTACAAAAGGCCCGTTTGATTTTTATAAGCCAGTATGAAGCTCATCATGTCATGCTACAAAATGCCACTGCGGTTTTCATGATGGGCTAACATGACTAAAATGACTCCTTTATAAAATGATATTCACAAGTTTAAGCTACAAAATCTTGGACCTGGATTTCATCTCAGGGTTAGCCTGACTAAAATGGAAGCCTCTGTATAGTGCTTGTGGCCACCAACTCTGTAGCTTGAATTTGCTGGGGGATATATATATATGATATATGTATATATTAATATACACACATATATATATATATTATTGATTATTATGGAGGGTTTCACTAGCCTGGCGATTGATTCCCTACAATATCACCATCATTCCAGTGATGTCACGCTCCAGGGTTTCCGGTTTCCAGACCTTTCCGGACTCCGACTTCGGGACTTCGGGTCGAGTCGCCCCGCCCAAAATCACCCCACCTTTTTGAGTCCAAACGGCCACGGAGCCATGGTCCAACTGTTGGCAACTGTTGGATAGCGAATTTTCATTTCAACCTATGATATATATAGAATGATATGGATATTTAAGCTAGAATAGACTAAGTTTGGGGAGGAATAAGTGTTGAAACAAAATATTAATATATTACTATATGATATGGGTTGTGGGTTTTCTGAAGAAAAAAATGCATTTATGATTTCTGACCATGTTTTTTGAGAAGGACTGATTATGACTGATTGGTTGGGCCAGCAGCCAGCGATAGATGATCAATGGATATCACTAGTTGGAGGGATATTTCCCGACACAGGACTCACGGTATGACCTTGCCGTGATTCAACTTAATTGAGACAAGAGCACCACGAAGTCTGATCCATGTTTTGCAAATATGCCATTCGGTTTTCGGGTCATTTTTTCTGACCCATAGCATCTCGTAACCGGATAGAAATTGTTCAACATTCCTATCCCATCTTTAGGTTGCAGGATGGAACAGCACAGAAATGTATATCTAGATACTAGATGTGTGAAACATCAGAACCGGGAGTGGTTGGAATACGGCCAAACCGCAGTGTTTGGAGGGTTGAACGACCCAACAAACCATGTTCAGCGTGGATGGTGGGCAATTGAATACCGATCATAGTGATAGGTCGCACATAAACAACTTAGACCGATCAATTATCAACATAATGACAAAATACGACAGCATCTCATATTATCAACGTGATAAATTCCCAAATATATGATAGCGGTACAACACGGCACAACTTAGACAACTAACATTGGACCCACCTGTTAGTCTGAAGACATTTTTCTTTGCAACTTTGTAATCACATGGATATGTCCCAGAGTGCGGAACCCCAAACTCTGCCGAAAACCTGAAACTCTTCTTGTCGATCTGATGAAATTTGAAGGTCCCCAAGTCTTGAGACATACCCAAACGTTTCAGACTACCGAGCCAGTGCGGGAAAAACCACGGGAACCACACGTTGGTGTGCCGTGGCACAGTGCCAAGTGATCATCTGACATGCGCAGGCACATCAAGAATAGTATGATGACCAAGTTGCCACACAAATTCCACAACAATTTTACGAATTCCCACAGAGATATTCCCCGTATCCCGTGAGCATCCATTTATACATGACCGGCTGTGAAACAAGGTAACAACGTCTGTAAGATGACATCACAGTCCCAGGATGATGATGGAAATGTATGGAAATGTCCGAAACTGTAGTAATTTGTACATGTTTATTTTTCTAGAATAAAATTCTGGTGCAAATCCCTTGGAATGGTGACCTCAAAAGTGGAAAATCTAATGTTTTACAAGCACAAAACTGCAGTTTTGTTCGCCGAGGGTTTCGCCGAAAAGTTCCTTTTGGTTTCAAGCACAAAGTTGGGCGAGGTCATTCGGGACAATGCCTTTGACACATGTGTGGAAGTGCAAGAGAACATCCAGCAGCGTAGCATGACGTATGTGTGGAAGTGCAAGAGAACATCCAGCAGCAGCATGACGTATGTGTGGAAGTGCAAGAGAACATCCAGCAGCGTAGCATGACGTATATGTGTGGAAGTGCAAGAGAACATCCAGCAGCGTAGCATGACGTATGTGTGGAAGTGCAAGAGAACATCCAGCAGCCTAGCATGACGTATGTGTGGAACTGCAAGAGAACATCCAGCAGCGTAGCATGACGTATGTGTGGAAGTGCAAGAGAACATCCAGCAGCGTAGCATGACGTATGTGTGGAACTGCAAGAGAACATCCAGCAGCGTAGCATGACGTATGTGTGGAAATGCAAGAGAACATCCAGCAGCGTAGCATGACGTATGTGTGGAAATGCAAGAGAACATCCAGCAGCCTAGCATGACGTATGTGTGGAAGTGCAAGAGAACATCCAGCAGCGTAGCACATCCAGCAGCGTAGCATGACGTATGTGTGGAAGTGCAAGAGAACATCCAGCAGCCTAGCATGACGTATGTGTGGAAATGCAAGAGAACATCCAGCAGCGTAGCATGACGTATGTGTGGAAGTGCAAGAGAACATCCAGCAGCGTAGCATGACGTATGTGTGGAAGTGCAAGAGAACATTCAGCAGCCTAGCATGACGTATGTGTGGAAGTGCAAGAGAACATCCAGCAGTGTAGCATGACGTATGTGTGGAACTGCAAGAGAACATCCAGCAGCGTAGCATGACGTATGTGTGGAAATGCAAGAGAACATCCAGCAGCGTAGCATGACGTATGTGTGGAAATGCAAGAGAACATCCAGCAGCGTAGCATGACGTATGTGTGGAAGTGCAAGAGAACATCCAGCAGCAGCATGACGTATGTGTGGAAGTGCAAGAGAGACCATCCAGCAGCGTAGCACATCCAGCAGCGTAGCATGACGTATGTGTGGCAGTGCAAGCAGCAGGTAGATGACGTTATGGGGAATGCAAGAGAACACCAGCAGCGTAGCATGACGTATGTGGGAAGTGCAACGAGAACATCAAGAGCGTAGCATGACGTATGTGTGGAAGTGCAAGAGAACATCCAGCAGCGTAGCATGACGTATGTGTGGAACTGCAAGAGAACATCCAGCAGCGTAGCATGACGTATGTGTGGAAGTGCAAGAGAACATCCAGCAGCGTAGCATGACGTATGTGTGGAAGTGCAAGAGAACATCCAGCAGCGTAGCATGACGTATGTGTGGAAATGCAAGAGAACATCCAGCAGCGTAGCATGACGTATGTGTGGAAGTGCAAGAGAACATCCAGCAGCGTAGCATGACGTATGTGTGGAACTGCAAGAGAACATCCAGCAGCGTAGCATGACGTATGTGTGGAAATGCAAGAGAACATGCAGCAGCGTAGCGGCGTAGCATGACGCATGTGTTGACGAACACTTTCTATGGAGTAGAAGTCGAACAGAACGTTGTTACCCTACCCCACCCCACCCCACTCCCCCACACCCCCCCATCAAGACGCCAAAATATCAACAGGCGCCTAGCCTCTTGCGGGCGTTGACGACCCTTGGTGATCCTGATAATTGATAGTTTCTGATAGTTACATATTTTTCTTGTGTCTCCATCTTTCCGATATTCTTGATATAACACTGTATTTACATGGTATTTCACAAGTCTTAAGTCATATTAATTGGTTAGAAAGTCTTTTTTCGGAACTCGCAGTGGACATCTTAGGGGCAATCCATCAGTGCCAATGATCAGACTCGGCGTCGCCAACACAAATTGCTGGGACGCCTGAAAGCACGGTTCGCACGGTTCGCACGATGTTCGGAAGCGGCAGTCGATGCGCCGCAGCTGGAAGTGATCCTACTGGAGCCTTAGGAATTGTGATGGGCTAATCTGGATGACTTACCTTTCCTCCAACTCAAAAATTGACGACAGTGTCATCAGTTGGGGGTTGGAAGACAAATTTCAGAAAGATACTGGCTCCTCTGGATAATTACGAATTACAATCCTGGAATCTCTGGTCATTTTGGGGTATACTCACATATACGTCGCCACGTCGTGATTGATCCTCCCAGCCCTTCTAACAAGCTGCTCGCTCTCTTCGAGAGAAGCGAGCACGTCGCGCCGCTCAGAAGGTCTCATCGTCTTTCATTAAAGCAGCGCCAATCCACGAGGCAGGCTTTTTGGGTTTGCTCCCCTGACCGAGAGGGAGGGGTGAACTGGTGAACGACACACGCAACGTTTGTTGAACGTTTGCATCAAAAATGCAAACAACGAAACTTGAGGATCAAAGATCATCAATTGAATTACTCAGATTTGAGAATCAAATGACAATCAAGCATCTAGCTTCATCCATCGAAATTGTGAACTTGGCAACACAACAACCTTGTGGTTGTGATCACAACCCATTTCTGCTATTGCGATGCCTGTTGGGATGGGATTCGCTCGCATTCAGAGACAGTTCATGTACATCTGAGAATTCGGTAATCCCATCCCCCTAATATTAAACACCTATTGCAGTGCATGGTCCCAATTCTGTGGAAATCCTCTACTAAACCATGGTCCTCGAGGCGGATAATATTAGGGTGAAGGGCTTAGTTTATCCGCAAATTCAAGTGTTTGTTTCTTAAACCACTCATTTTCACCATACATCCACAATTGTTTGCATTTGGTAATTACATTAATTACATGGTTTAGCCTCATGTTTGGTTAGAACCAACCAATTTCATGAAAGCCACATAGTGCCATCCAACAACTTATAATAGCTTGTTTGCGGTTCAAGTATCTTTACTCTCCGATACAATTTGCACACCCACTGCTGGTTTGCCACAGCCCAGATAGTCCATTGATTTACCTACTGATGGTGACTGTCCAAATGTTAAATGTTGAATGGTCCACAGCTATGTAACAAATTACCAGAGGCATAGAAAAACCACCAGGCTCAGCCCACTGCTTTCCCGTTCAAATCTTCATTTCTCGGGGCATTGTCTGTGTTTCCCATCTTTTCCTATATTTTCCTATGTTTTTTCGTGTGATTCATAGGATTTTATAGGATTTTATAGGATTTTTCTAGGATTTTATAGGACTTTATAGGATTTTATAGGTAGGATTTTATAGGGTCCTTCCCACTAGAAGCTTCAAAGATCCTCTTCAATCCCCGCCGTTTCGTTGCGCCTGTCCCCAGGTCATCAGTGCCTTTTTGGTCTCCGGCGTGGCATTCTTCAACCAGGCAGTCAGGGCTTCCTCGGACATGTGAAACATCATTTGGAGGACCATGGATTTTCCATCATTTCAATGGATTTTCCAATGATTTTCCAATGAACAATGGATTTTCCATGATTTTCCAATGGAAACCAGTGATTCATTTGGAGGTTTCCTAACCCAGATGCGAACCATGGTGCTGGAATATGAACACCAACATTTACCCCAAAAATTGCCCAGTTTTGTAGGTAAATATTCCAGCACCATGGAGCATATGGGTAATTTATGGGGGTACCCCGTTCTCAATGGTTGGTTTATAAGGGAAAATCATAGACCATCCGAAAATAAAATGGATGATTTAGGGGTACCCCCATGCATTGGAAACCTCCTTTTGGATTTCTTTGAAAATGATTCACATGATTATAAACCATGAAATGTGCAGGGACCCTATACTTTCTGGGTCAACAATAATTCACTGAGAAATAAGGCTAGATTCGAGATGATTCCCTTTATATACTAATCATCATGTCTGGCTGAAGTATTATATCTCACTAGCCTGAAAATTAACCTGAAAATACAAGGGGGTGCCCCAGAGCTAAGTTTTAGTGAAAATAACTTCAAATTAACTCTGGGGTGCTAAGCATGCGGTTTAGCGTCGATAGATCCAACGAGTTTCAATGGCTAAAAAAACAACTTATAACATCTTATAATTGCGGGTGCACCACCTTGTATCATGTGATTGACAGTAAGAAGTGTGTGGAATGTCAAATTCAACTTAGAAAATACAACAATCATATGAATTATCAGCAAACCTATGAAATACCGGTTTAGCTGGAGGAACCCCCATAAATCCCAGCTATTTGGGAAACAGCCAGAAGAATGGGGCAATGTTCAAAAGCCTCTGTCATTCCATACTGGTTGACGGGGATTCCCATATACTGGTTGATATGGATAATAAATGATAATAATCTGGGTAAATTATAATATTTCACTAACCTGAATTCAGGCCATTTGGGGATGATTTCCCTTACTAACCATGATTTCCAGGTTTCGGTCGCAGTGAGGTCGTTATAATTTACCCAGAATAATGTAAAGATGACTGGTTGTGGTTTCCTATGTTTCCTGTGGGGCACCCCATGAAAAATCGCAATGTTCGGCAATGTTCACCGGGGAAAAAAAATGGTTTCGCTGTACTCCACTGGTGCTTTCCTACAAGTTTGGGGCACAAAACAAGTCATTCGACGATCAGTTAGTATTGAAAGCCATGGGTAAAATGGTAAATCCCCATTTTGGGAAATGCTCATGTGTTTCAGATAATCCCTTCCCCCTAATATCAAACACCCCTCAGAAACCGTGATTTTTGGGGATTTACACCTTGGGACGCAATTGGGTTGTGGTTTATTTTGGAAGGACGGGATTAATAAGCCATAAATAACCCCAAAACTGATTGGCTCCAAAACATGTTATATTAATGGATTACTGGTTTAATATGGATTAATATTTGGGGCCCCAGTTTATAATTGGGGGATTCCAATCATATCAAAACTGATTATTTTTATTTTTTATTATTGGGGTACCCTCTGGCAATTTAACATAGCTATTGAAAATGGCAATTTATAGTTGATTTTCCCATTTCAAATGGTGATTTTCCATAGTTATGTGGCTGTTTACGTCGAGCAATGGATTTTATATTCATGGAACCCCCCAACGTTTAAAGATCAGGCATGATTGGGCGTGCTTAGGCAGGCCTCAGATCCCGTGCTACAATCGATCATCAATCCCCCTTCAGAAACCCGGGCCCAAAGGTTTTGCGTGGCTTTTACCACAAACATTTAAAACACTGGTGGTTTCAACCCCCCTGAAAAATATTAGTCAGATTGGATCATCATCCCAAATATTGGGGAAAATAAGAAATGTTTGAAACCACCAACCAGAATATTCTATGACTCCCAGAAATCTGACCAGCACCTCTGTCTTATTATTTTTTTTGCAATCCCCGCGTTACGGTGCTTTTTTAACGCTTGAACTTCCAAATTTGTTCGTAAATGACCTTTTGTTGTCAGTAACCTTCAGTTTAAGTCCCTTTTCTATCCCTTCCTTGTCCCGCCTTATCTTCATGCCCCCATGGATTTCGCAACAGTTTCCCCAAAAAATGAGGGTCAAAACTTTGGGATGTTACCTGGATGTTACCTGGATGTTCATCCCTCCGGATGGAAAATGGTGGGTTTTTGGACCATTTTTGAGGCCATCAAGGCCATCCAGGACCAGCATCCATCACCATCTCTCGTATCACGCTGCGTTTTCTCTCGTGGTCCACAGTTTCCGTCCGCCTGTGCACATCGTCAGATGATCGTCGTTTCTGGGTGCCGGGAAAGTTCAACCAACACCGCGGATGAGTTGGTGCAAGTTCTTGTTTTGTAACTGGTTGGTGGTTTCAACCTACCCCTCTGAAAAATATCTGTCAGTTGGGATGATGATTATTCCCAACTGAATGGAAAATCATAATCCATTCCATGGTTCCAGTCACCACCAATCAGGTAAACGTGCTTTGGATATGTTTTTCTATGGGTGTTTTAAAAGTTCAGATCTCCATGTTTCGTTCAACGTTTGACTACATCATCTTTGGTATGTTTTGATTCAAACAGATTTAGGTGTCAAATCGTTGGATGAATTGTTTACACCAATTGCAGTGGTTGTTACCCAGTTGCAAAGGAAAAAACTCTTTAAACAGATTTAAAAAGTATGGCTTGTCGAAGGCTTGTTACTTGGTTTCCTACCCACGCCAGCCATCATGGGGCGCGGCGCCAACAGAAACCAGTTAAAAACCATTGTAAATGATATAACCGCAGGAGGGGAATTTAAGGAGGTTTCCAACAATGATGGGTACCCCCAATCATCCATTTTATTTTCGGATTTTCCATTGAAAACCATCCAGCTATTGGGGATCTTTATGCAACCCCCCATTTGCAAACCAGGCTTCTCAAATCGAAATTTCTGCAAAATTGCACGGTCGATCGGGTATGATCCAGTCCCTCAACATCTGAATGACATTAGTTTCTACATCACCCTTCAAAAAAATAACACCTTGCTTGACCAGGCAATTTTTCCGTAAACTCGATGTTTTGGATTCCCTGTTGGTACCGTATGTACCCTACCGGGTAATCAAACATTGCTGAAGAATCTGAAAAATACTTCGATGCTTCTCCATGCAACCGCCAGGACACAGTCTCTGCACGATCTGCTCTTCGAAGCTTTCCAGATCTTCCAGCCCGGAGCCCAAGATCTCTTGGGCTTCCAACACGGCCTGGTGGCGATCTGGGGCAGGGTGTGTCAAGTCAGGGATGTTTGTTGACTTCATCCTTAGTTTTGGTCAAATGGCTATGGATCAATACCTATTAATACCATTTTTAGTGGGATGAACATCCATTTACCAGCTAGTTTGATGTTCACCAGGGGTACAAGGTTTTGACACACTGCCAAATCATGTCAAATCTCTATCTTGGATGCTTGAATCATCTTAAACCCACAGATGTTCTTTGTCTTTATCTTCAATCACTGTTACAGCCCCAAAAAAACCTGAACATTCATGTCATTGTGGCCCAAGTTCTCCCACTCTATCCCGATTACCCTCTGGTAAACTAACATAACTATGGAAAATCACCATGTTGAATGGGAAAACTCACTATTTCTAGGCCATTTTCAATAGTTTTTTGTTAGTTTACCAGGCCGGGTATACCACTATAAATGGATCCATGTGGGTGCCGAGTCCCCATCCTTGGCCAAATATCTTGATGAAAATCAGTGTTTTTTTCATCTGTCATTCCTGAAATAGGTCATTATGTCATTGATGTACCCTCTGGTAATTTGTTACATAGCTATTGAAAATGGCCATTTATAGTGGATTTACCCTTTAAATCTGGTGATTTTCCATAGTTATGTTAGTTTACCAGAGGGTATGACATTGATGTAAATCCATTTCAGGATTTTTCATGCTTCCATGATGGAAAATTTTCACCATTGCTCGCTGGCCCATGTCCATTTCACATTTCGGATGTCGGTTCACCGTCCCAATGTCGCCGACTGCTGGTGAAAAAAAACCGGTTACTGAGGTAGCCTTTTTATCCCTGTTTATCCCTTTTGATCAATTTTTATCCCTTTTTATCATCCCTGTTTATTCCTGTTTATCCGTGTTATCTCTTTTTATCCCTGAATTCTGAAAATGTCTGTAAAAATACTCCGACATCCAAGAATAAATAGACATATCTATTTCCTGGCATCGAGGTTTCACTCTTCTGGCTCCAGTGTGGAAGCGTGTGGAAACAAAAAAATGCATCCTTCAATGTGGCGAACAATCAAGATCTGTATTCACCTAAGACCGAGCCAAAGGCTCATGGCTGGACAAAAAATCCCGTGTTCCCTGGACTTTGGCCTTGGTTGAAACTTTAATCACCCACTAAACCCCTCCAAATCATACCTTTAAACATATAGTTTCTCAGTGTAAACACTGTTGGGGATAGCCATGTTAGATACCGCATCAATCCAATTATATGTATATATCTGGTTGGAGGTGTCAACCCCTTTGAACAATATGAAAGTCAGTTGGGATGATGACATTCCCAATATATGGAAAAATAAAAAATGTTCCAAACCACCAATCAGATATATATATATACACTTTCCAGTAATTTTTATCCCATTATGTATATATATACATACACTGTATATATATATTCCAGAATATTCCATCCCTATTACTGTTGGTAAAAACTCCATGTTTGATGATTATTTCCGCTTGAGACGGAATTCCCATCTTTGATGCTTTATTACTCCTTATAGTCCATTATATCCCATTGTGATCCCTATCAAACCAAAAAAGGTATAAAACCATATAAAAACATATAAAACCATATGAAACCATATAAAAAAAAAAAAAAACATATAAAAAACATATAAAAAACATATAAAAACATATAAAAACATAAAACCATACAACAACCATATAAAACCATTTAAAAATCATATTAACACCATGAAACCATATAAAACCATATAAAACCATATAAAACCATATAAAACCATATAAAAACCATATAAAACCATATAAAACCATATAAAACCATATACAACCATATACAACCATATACAACCATATACAACCATATACAACCATATATCATATAAAAACATATAAACCCATAAAACCATACAAAAACCATAAACCAATATAAAACCCTTTAAAACCATATAAAATCATATATAATTATATATAAACCTTACAAAACCATTAAAAAAAAAAAAAAACATGTAAAACCCTACAGAAACCATATAACAGCTATATAGAAACCATATTTCAGAACCATCTGCAACCACCGAACATCTTCCATAGATTCCATAGATTCACCCACTGATTCCCATCGAATCGAAAGCCTGATGAACCTCCTCTGGCAGCTGCGCATCTTCCACCTGCGAAGCTGCAAACCCCAGTGATCATCCACTGATTTCATGGGATTTTCCTATAAAAATATGTAAAAAAAAAACATCTATTCTTGGGGTATCCCACATTTATGGAAACCTCCAACATATGATTAACACATGGAATGATGAATGATGTTTGTGGAAACGTATGGGAGAATGAATGTGTGTTGAATGTATTTACAGTTGGAACATGTGGACAAATCGTGGAACAAACATGAAACACATGTATAAAAAGCATGCGGAAATTGGTAAAAATGGGGAGAACACATGAGAGGAAAAGGTAGATAAGAATGGGAACAACCGAACAAACCATGAGATAGGGAAGATTTGTGTCAAACCAGGATAGATCCGCAAAAAAAACACATGGAGGCAAACCTTTCGAAAAGTCGGAAGCGAGGCCAGTGCAAATAGGATGCGACCAACAGCAAAAAAACACATGGAGATTTCATCAACATCTCAAGTACTGCAAGGGAATTAAGGTGAAGATACATGGAATTTTCCATCCCAACTAGTTCATGGAAACATCCCCCAGCAAAAAAAACATGGAAGATACACTGCAACCCAGAATTTCATAGAATTTCCCATTGGAATTTCCCACATATGGGGGACAGAACCACTGGACATGGGGATGTCTCCATCTATGTAGCTCCGACATCGTTGGACCATGGTGTCGAACGTACCCATCCGACTTCCAGCCTCCTCTTCAAATGGCTCCATTTCTGCAAAATCTGTAATCATCTCGTTCATAACTTCGTTGGCAATCTGCACCGGTACCTCCTTTATCACTTCCACTTCTACAATCTTTTCGACATTTTTTTCAACCGCTACTTCCTTGATGACTTCTTTCTCAACGATTTTTTCAATCGGGACCTCTTTGATCACTTCCTTCTCCACCTCCACGATCTTTTCGACAATTCTTTCGACTGGTACCTCCTTGATGACCTCTTTGATGACCTCCTTCTCCAGAGTTTTGTCAACAGGAACAAACTTTGTGACTTCTTTCTCGACGATTTTTTCAACCGGAACCTCTTTGATAACTTCCTTCTCCACTTCCACAATCTTTTCGACAATTCTTTCCACCGGTACCTCCTTGATAACTTCTTTGACGACTTCCTTCTCCCCCCCTTTGTCAACAGGAACCTCCTTGATGACCACCTTCTCCACAATCTTTTCAACGGGCACTTCCTTGATGACTTCCTTCTCCACCTCCACAATCTTCTCTACAATCCTTTCAACTGGTACTTCCTTCACAACCTCCTTGACCACCACCTTTTCTACAGGTACCTCCTTAATCACTTCCACAATTTTCTCTCCGAAGCCCTCAACTGGAACTTCCACAATCTTCTCGACGATTCCTGAAGCAGCTTGGATAAATCATCCACGAAAAGCTTCGAAATGAAACACACCCTTGAAGCAAAAGACCCCTACAGTACTGTTCCTAAAGAACCTTGTCTCGTCAGCACAGCAATGGCGTTGTTCATTCACCCCTACCCCCTGACACCTGCTGCCTGGCACTCTTCCGGGAAATGGCAAGACAATGTGCGTGTGTTTTTAGCATATACACCTTATCGAAATGCATATCCCCGTGTATGGCAAACTATAGCCAACCATAAATTTAACGGGAAGAGTTCCATTAAGATCATTAAGGTAGGTCATGATTCGGTCCACCGGCACGGTTCTGACCACTTCTTTCACGAAGGGGACGCGCTTTTCAACGGTCACCACTCTTTCCTTGGTCGAAGTTGGTCAGCTCATGGATGAATCGAAACTCGGGGGAAACGCCACATGTTTTTGGTAATGGCCATATGTCATTTTTGGGAACGCCACATCGGGAAAAGCCTGGGAAAAATGGGGGTCTGCCTAAATGAGAATCTGCATGTCCTAGTCCATGGGCTTGTGAAAGACCTGAGTCACCGAGAAATGTCCGTGTTTTTGCATCATTGTCCATATTCAAATTGCCTTTGGGCCCATGTGCCTTCCTTTTTCAAACCCAAAAGCACCCCATCTATATAGTAGTTGCTTATAATATCTTATAATTGGGGGGTTCCATAAATAGATCCCCATTTTTTGTTTTTTTTTATCCTATATTATCCTATTCAAATGGATGATGTGGTACCCCCTGGAGTTAGCTCCATATCATTTGCTCCATCCGAAAAAACGCCATGAAACCCAATCCACCTGGAGTTGGATGGAAAAAAATCCGAAAATCTTCCCAGATGTTCATTCCCATAGGATCCATGTATGGTGCATATGCTAACATTTGGGGTATATTGATGGTAAATGTTACCATATATGGCATACATGGATCCTATGGGTTACATCATGTTACATCCCATGAAAATCATGAATCTGGGTAAATGAAATAATATTTCACTAACCTGAATTGAGGCCATTTGGGGATGATTCCCCTTACTAACCATCATTTCCAGGGTTCGGTCGCAGTGAGGTCGTTATAATTTATATACCCAGATGAATCTCATTACAAATTCTAGTGGCAAATCGAATTCAACATCTGCCAGGTGACGATGGGGATGTATTTGATGATCTGCCGACGCTCGTCCGTTTCCACTTCCACCACTTTCTCTGGAACCATCAAACGCAAATCCTGGAGATTCACGTTGTCCGTCTGGACAGCAACCTCCACCTGCCAGCAACTGGGAAGGTGTTAAAAATCGACTCCTGTGAAAAGAATGCAATTTCAGATACCCTGCCCATGTTGTCTAAGGTATACCTCAACACCTGTACCTGCTGTACCTGCTGTGCCTGAGACAGAAACCTATCAAACAACAACTCTCAAACATCAAGTATTGTTGCTCCGCCACTTCACCAGCAACCCACCTTGGCACAAAAATCTTTCACTTGGGCACTTTCACTGTGCTCACCTGCCAAGGATTGCAGTCGTTACACCGGCCTTGTGAGATTTCCGTCCAAGGATGACCCAGATCCGAGTGGTGACATGAATTCTTGCATCGCATGTCAATGGCGATGAGTGTATCCACATATACATGCCATTGACGCTTGTTTTGTCAAAATCTGACTGTTCCAGAATGTTCAGTTTGTTGGTTTGGTTACCGTTTCCGTTCGGAAATAGCTGTTCAACGCAGTGTATCACCATTTCTGTCGATCGTATCACCGCATTCATCTCCAAGCACAGGATCTTTGCGTTCATGTCATGGGTAGTCGTTGATAGCCTTCAAAAAAGCGTACAATGTTTCAGCTGGACAATACTTGTGTATGTATACATGTATGTATATGTGATGATATATGTATGTATAATATGTGTATGTGCATATGTATATGTGTATGTGCATGTACACATATGTATATATATATATGTGTGTTTACATGTGAAATATGTGTATTCTGTTTATGTATATACACACAGGTCATACCCTCTGGTAATTTGTTACATAGCTATGGAAGCCATGGACCATAGAAATAGATGATTTACCCATTAATAGCATGGTGGATCTTTCCAGTTCGTTATGTGGCTGTTGACCAGAGGCTAACTATGGAAAGATCCACCATTTTGAATGGGAAAACTCACTATTTCTCTATTTCTATGGCCATTTTCCATAGCTTTTTGTATGCTTACCAGGCCGGGTATACCGTAAAATCGACGCCACGCAGCCATCCCCATTGCTGGGCCGCCATCCCCAATGGGGATCCCATCCGCACCGCCTTCTGCGCCTGCGCCATCACGCTTCCTGGCCATCCCCGTGCTGCGTGCTGCGAATTACCAAACAAGTCATATTTATAGTGGATTTATAGTGGATTTACCCATTAAACATGATGAATAATAACTGGTTGGTGGTTGACCTACCCCAGTATTCAATGGGATTTATAATGATTTAATGGGACTTTATAGTGATTCAATGGGAAATTAATGGGATATACCCGGCCTGGTAAGCATACAATAAAGCTATGGAAAATGGCCATCTAATCTATCGTGAGTTTTCCCATTCAAAATGGTGATTTTCCATAGTTACCCTCTGGTAAACTAACGTAGCTATGGAAAATCACCATCTTTAATGGGCAAATCAACTATTTCTATGGTCCATTTTCAATAGCAAACTGTAACAAATTACCAGAGGGTATGTTGTTTGCTTAAAGCTGGTTCAGTATCTTAAAATAACATATAACATATTCTTATGCTTAAAGCTGTTTGCTATTTTTTATTACTATCGCCATAAAAATAGTAAAAAGAATGCAAAAGATAACAAGTACGAGAAACTCTCCAGTGGATTGACACAGAAAAACAACACGTTTTTCAGCCGAGCTTATCGAGTTTGACATCAATTAAAATTAGACCATTTTAGTATTGAAAGCTATGGATTCGGGGATCCCCCATGACTTAAGAAACACCCCTGTATATATATATATATATGTGTGTATTCTTATCATTATATATATATACATATGTATATATATATGTATATATATATGTATATATATATATATATGTATATATATATATATATGTATATATATATGTATATATATATGTATATATATATGTATATATATATGTATTATTAACATTATATACACATATATTGTGTATATATATATAACATGTATCATGAACTATCAACATTAACTATCATTGTAATGATAATATCACTTACCATGTGAAACTTGTGAAACTTCCACTCCATCCCAGAAATTTTGCCAGTCCTCGACTTGGAGCGCGCGCGGCGGCTGGAGGCACTTCGCTTCACTTTCCGCCGAGCGCTGCTAACGGGAGCGCTGGTCGAGCAGGGCTCCTGCAGGGATGGGCTGTTCGAATCCTATCTACATAATCATACATGATACTGGTATGGTACCATCTGATATCATATGATATAACATCACATGATATTATATCATGTGAGATGATATGGTTCTATGAGAATATTCATGATATGATTTCCTTGATACGTTTATATCTGGGTGTGTCTGCAAATGGAGAAAAACTCTCCAAATGGCCAATTGATGTGGGCCACGGTCACTCTTTGGTATATAGCTCCAAGTCATCAATTTTTGAAGAGTGTATTATCGTTTTTCAGGTTTGGGTATATAAGCAAATGTTATCGTTGTTTGAAGAGTGTATTATGGTCTTCCAAGCCCCAGCTCAATTTCCAAAAAATAAAGACGTCTCGAATACTACTCTCCAGTAACCTCAATTTTGGCTGTAGCTCATGTGATATTCATTTGTTCTGGTCAAATCTCTATTCTTCATGGTTCGGTGTATCATGAAGAAAATGTCAATAGAAGAATCATCCAGGCAGACCTTTGTTCAGATTCACTGGACTCAGCTGTACCTTCTTTTCAGACAAACATTGATGTAAATCCTGGAAGATTCATCCCATGTAATGAGATGTTTAACCCGTCACAAGACAAATAGATTGGTGATAATCTAAACCAACAAGATAATTTGGTATAGTAACATATATATATATATATAGCAATATGTAGTATATATAGTAATAACAATTATTCTGTCTCAAAAATGAAAGATACCCTACACGGGTCATTTTGATTGGAATGATCACAGACCATGGGAAATAGGCGCCATGGTTGGGCATATTCCTCTTAAAAACATTAAAATTGTTATTACTATATATTACTATATATTACTATCTATTACTGAATATATTACTAAATATATTACTAAATATTACTATATATTACATTATATTACATTATATATCAATATATATTACTAAATATATTACTATATTATTATTATCATTAATTTCTACAGTATTCATTGTGAGGTCGGACAGCGAAGTCGCTCTCAATCACTGGATTCACCATGGTGCTCGGGTATCAACTGGTGAGTCAGCTCAAAAATCTTACCAAGAAGCCGATTAGCTTGGCATGTTATCCATGGTTCGTCAACAAAAATCCTGTTGAACCAGCAGAAGTAAGGACTTCACCAGCAGAAAACTGGGATTTGATTTGGGTATGGGTCAATACCTATAAATACACTTTTAGTGGGATGAACATCCATAAATCCCAGCTATGACTTGGGGTTCACTAGGTACCAGGGTTTTGACCCATCCCCGAATATCTACACAAATTTTAAATATCCTTAAATGTCTACACTCTACACATTTGTTGGGCTGTTTGAATCTAACACCGGGTCAAAAGACCTGTTTCATGATCTCCATGGCTCTGGTTTCGACGAGAAGTACCACCTTTTGGCCCCAAAGTAGTTCAATCAAAAACAGCGTTCGCCATCTGGTGGTTTCAACCCCTCTGAAAAATGATGGAGTTCGTCAATGGGGTTGGGATGACATCCCATATATGAAATGGAAAATAATCCAGTCATGTTTGAAACCACCAACCAGCCATGGTTTTTCCAAGAGCTCCTCTGTCGAGCGACTGCTGCTCTCGCATGGCGTCCTTTCGTTTCAAACAAGAAACACCCGGCGAGCCGGTGAATTTTGAACAGAAGAGCCGGTTTTTTGTGCACTGATTCTTCGACTGAATTTGGATGTTTGGTTTTTGACCATGTAAATGCACCAGTAGGTCATGTTGATGAGTCTAATATATATATAGATGGTTTACCTATTAAAAATTGTGATTTTCCATGGCTATGTTAAATAACCAGATGGTAATACGTGTAACTCAGTCTAGCCGTACTTTCGACCAATTCTGCGTTGATCCCAGAAAATCCCTGCAACTTGGTGCTAGGTTATATACTATCATATACCCTCTGGTAAACTAACATAACTATGGAAAATCATCATTTTTTATGGGAAAACTCACTATAAATGGCCATTTTCAATAGCTATGTTAAATAACCAGATGGTAATACGTGTAACTCAGTCTAGCCGTACTTTCGACCAATTCTGCGTTGATCCCAGAAAATCCCTGCAACTTGGTGCTAGGTTATATACTATCATATACCCTCTGGTAAACTAACATAACTATGGAAAATCATCATTTTTTATGGGAAAACTCACTATAAATGGCCATTTTCAATAGCTATGTTAAATAACCAGATGGTAATACGTGTAACTCAGTCTAGCCGTACTTTCGACCAATTCTGCGTTGATCCCAGAAAATCCCTGCAACTTGGTGCTAGGTTATATACTATCATATACCCTCTGGTAAACTAACATAACTATGGAAAATCATCATTTTTTATGGGAAAACTCACTATAAATGGCCATTTTCAATAGCTATGTTAAATAACCAGATGGTAATACGTGTAACTCAGTCTAGCCGTACTTTCGACCAATTCTGCGTTGATCCCAGAAAATCCCTGCAACTTGGTGCTAGGTCATATACTATCATATACCCTCTGGTAAACTAACATAACTATGGAAAATCATCATGTTTTATGGGGAAACTCACTATAAATGGCCATTTTCAATAGCTATGTTAAATTACCAGAGGGTACTATAATCATTTATGACTATCATGGTTATATGATGATAGTATATATAACTATCATTTATAACTATCATTATGGTCATATACTATCATATATGATCATATAGTCATTATAATCATTTATAATAAACTGTAATCTACTATGATGAGTTCTCAATATCATGCACATCCAGGGTGAAATGAACACCAACTACGCTCTCATGGGACCCACCTCGCTATCGGCATCAGCACAGCGGGACGCACAAATAAACCTCGGTGCTCAGTCAATTGATCAACAAATCACATATGGCTATGGATCAATACCTATAGATACATTTTAGGCTGCACGTGCATAGAAACCCGCGCGTCTTTTGCTACCAGGTGAACATGACGTCTTTGTGGAACTTGGATCTAAGGTTTTGCAGATGGTTGTGAAATAGTAATTTACAAGCATTTTCATGTTGTTTTTTTGACAGATCATCATGGATTCATTGTTAACATATCATTCATTCATTTCAGTGTTGAAGATGACAGCGTCTGAAACTAACTTTGGGATGACAAAAAACATGTTTTTCATTGCGTTTCGTGTATGATTTGGCACATTAAATTTCGACATCGGGAGATGACATTTCATATATTGCAAGTGCAAAAGAAGATCTCAGAGCGTAGCATGACGTGTGTGTGTGTGCAAGTGCAAGAGAAGATCCCAGAGCGTAGCATGACGTGTGTGTGCAAGTGCTAGAGAAGATCCCAGAGCGTAGCATGACGTGTGTGTGCAAGTGCAAGAGACGATCCCAGAGCGTAGCATGACGTGCGTGTGAAAGTGCAAGAGAATATCCCAGTCCATGCGTGTTCAAGTTGAAATTGAAGGTTATTGCCCTACCCCCACCAATCCCCACCCTGACTGCACAACATACATTCCATGCGTGTGCCACTTGACATGAACGCTATTGCCCCACCCCACCCCACCCTTCCCCCCCCATATCACAGATATGCATATTGTATTGCGGGTTTCTAGGGACGTGCATGGTTTTAGTGGGATGAACATCCATTTACCAGCTATTTTGGGCTTCACTAGGGTACCAAGGTTTTGACTCATACCCATATGATCACATCGTCATCATCCCAATGTCCTGGAAGTTCTCCAAGAATTCGAAGCATGAAACTTGGATTTCCACATGGAAACACCATTCGAGACGGGCAGGTTTCGACTGTCGTATCTCTTTCCTGGTCCATGGTGGGTGACCCCGGCACCATTTTTTCATCAGTCGGACATCACCAGGGTGGACAGATCACCAGTGAGTCTCTCCTTTTCTCCGGGTTCCTTGGTCAAAATGCCGAGTTTTTTGTTTCGAAAATGCACCTTGGTCTGCTCCCAGGTAAACTCTCTCTGAGTTGTTGCTGGCAAAATCGATGTTTTTAGTTGATGAAATCACCATTGAAGTTGATGATACCATATCAAGCCACTGTTTTTGCTACTTAAATAGTCTTAGATCCTAGCTTCTGCTGGGCAGAAAACCCTCCGTTCGGCGATGTCAACGAAACATCCTCCCCGGTTCAACGGAACATCTATGCGGAGAAACCGTGGTTGGGAGGGCAGCAGAAGTAGCGATAGCCCCGCACCACGCCATCGTTCTTTCCCTGGGCGTCATCTAATTCCAAGCCAACCTAATTCCAAGCCAACCCAGGCTCCTGCGAGATGGGAACAGTCTATCAGAGCATTTTGTTGATTGGGGATTGAACCAATGTGGGGACATGATGGAATGTTCAGGGGATCTCGTATATGTGTGTATATATATATGTAATATTATATATATACACAATTATATACATATGTATAAATATTTTATTATATATATATTATCATATAAATATATGTGATTGCAAATGACATATTTTTGCCACAGGGTCGAATACCGAACGTGTAGGCGCGCACATTTTTGCATTCTGTCGTTTGGCAACATAATTTTCGACTCGGTAGTAGGGTGTGGGGTGGGTGGGGTGGGTTGGTGGTGCGGGTGGGTTGGAGTGGAGCCCCCTGCGGCGTGGGTGGGAGTGGGTACGGCGGGGTGGGGGGTGGGCTGTCCCCGCCGCTGTGCCTGACCCGCTCGCCACCACAGGTGGCGGATTCAAGTTTCTCTATATCTCTGCGCTCCCGGCTGACCCCGCCTGTTAATGGTTGTTTTTTTGTTTATCGGCGTGGGTGTGTGGTTCCGGACGTTCCCCCGTTGCCCAATCCCACACGCAAATCCTGTCCTGTGTGGCTTGCTCCTTTCTGGTCTTGGTTGGTTGTGTGGGTGGGGTTGTGTGTGTGTTATTTGTGTTTCTGGGTGGCCTGGCGGTGGGACTGGGACTTGGGTGTGGTACTTTCTCCCCGTTCCTTGTTTCCTTTTTCTAACCCCCCCTCCTTACCCACCACCCTTACACGACTGTCTCTACGCCTCCTCGCCCCCCCACCCCCCACCCCCCCCAAATCATCCACCCGACCCCCCCCCCGAACTAACATCATTCCCACTTGTGCGTGCCTGTATTAACCGGCGATCTCACCCATGCATATTATTAATATGTTCTTACCTTCACAATAGTCCTTTCGCCACATCCTTACCTTTTCCTCCTCTGAGCGCTCTGCTTGGTACGGCGTGCCGCGGGATGGTGGGGGGTCCCCTTGGTCTCCCGTCTCCCTGCTTCCTCCTGCTCCCAATACAACGTTCATGTTCACATGCATCGATATTAACATGTTCACTTGCACTTACTTACGTTAACAAGATCTTCTTTTGCACTGTCGCATATTAACGAAATCTTCTCTTGTACATATGTACGTTAACAAGATCTCTTGTACATACATAGTCAACCAAATCTTAAAAAAAAACATGGGGCATGAAACCAACATCAACCAACCATAATGGGTATATGTCATGTTTATACCAGCAAGATGATATTGTGTCAATGGGGGACTAAGTTTTTTAATGGCCCAAATTTCCAAGGGTTTTACCCTTCAAGGTTAGCACCTTGCAGGCCTTCCGTAGTAAACATGGCAATGGACAGTTTTCCCAATGATGGTCGTTTTATATTTTTTCCCAGGGTCTTATATTTTTTCCAGGAAATTTAGATTTTTCCAGCATCATCTCGAACTCAACCCCCAGTGTTGATCCGGAAATTTTCCAACTGCCAGATGCTGGAATTGGTTCTCCAGCCAGTGGTGGTGTCAACCCATCCAAATGATATGTGAGTCAATTCAATGACCCTAAGCAAGTATTGACAATCAAACCTTTGACACCATTCAGGATGTACAAAAAGAGCCCCCCCATTTTTCATGCTAGTTCCTTCCCCGCTATCAGTCACTATCAAGTTTTGAAATTGCCTAGACAAAACCACAATTCATGCAATATTTACTACTGTGGATGGTTGCGAAATCCTGCACCAGTTGATTGCTGGTAAACATCCCATTATTTATAGGTCTCAACCATCCTTTTGGTGGTGCAGGCTTTCGCAACCACAGTATCAGTGGGAAAACTCTCAACAGCTCCTTGGTTCCAAGTTTCATAGGGAATATGCCTCGCCAAATTTACTGCATTCCCATGGAACTTGCTGGGCACCCAGCGAACACCCCCTTGATTTGTTTTACATGAAACCCATTGAAACCCCATGAATTGGGTCTGAAAGACGACATATTCCATCATATTCCTATATAGCATGATATAATAATGTCATATGATATTCAATATTATGAATCTGATATGTAGATATATATAGATTGATATAGCCATATTTCGCCATGTGAAAAACGTGGAGGCTGCATTTCTTGTTGAACTTCCCATGCCATGTCCTGGTGCGAAGTGCGTGGCGCCCAGAAACCGGATGGTGCCGTCCAGGCCATTCCTTGGGTGAAAAAAGCGATCTCGTGAAAGGCGTCCATGAAATGAACAACAGGGGATCAATTTTACCAGAGAAATCTTGATGATAAGTGGGATACAAGGCGATTAATCTATATATATATATCATACCAATATATATATGTATATATATATATATCAACAACAGGGGATACAAGGACCTCTAAGTACCTGAGGAATGCTGGTGGGCAAGCTATCAATTAAATGCTGGAAGAAACGGAACATATTCTTGGATTCCAGCAACTGGTGTCATGGCGCTTAAACACCCCTTTGAAATCTGCGAAAACCCATCCCACAGAGATTGAATATTTATAATATAGATTAATATATATATATATAGTATGAACATTAATAAATCAAATATAACATTATATATATTAGATTATATATATATAATGTATATATATTGTAATATATATATTATTATATTATATATTATATTATATTATATATATTATATTATATATATATATATATATTATATTATATATATTATTATTATATATATATTATATATATTATATATATTATATATTATATTATATATATTATATTATATATATTATATTATATATTATAATTATTATAAATATCATATACATTATATATAATCTATATTATATATATAATAGATATATGATATATATGATATGTATATGATATATATGATATGTATATGATATATATGATATATATGATATATTTCATATATATATATATATATATGATATATATATATATATGATATATTTCATATATATGATATAATATATATATACATTGTACATAATATATATATATACACATTGTATATAATATATATATGTGTGTGTACATTGTATATATAATATATATATATAATGAATAGTATGATAATAGTATGTATGCATCTTTATGCTACATATATTATATATTATACATTGTATATGTTATGTATATTATTTTATATTATAGATGTAATATAAATTATATATATATATATATATCATATAATATATATATTATATTATATAATATTTATATTATATTATATATATTACTATATTATATATATTGTAATGTTATATATGTTATATAATATATATATATACCGAAAGTACCTTCTCACAACGGCCTTGGCAAAGTACATCGTGATCACGGCTTTGGATACTTAGGGTGTTATATAATGAATATATATATATATACTTACATATATAATATCCACCCATTATATAAACCAAATGTTTGGGCTTCGCCTCCCTCCCGGGTCCCAGCTTCGATCTCCACCAAGACACAGTCTACAATTGACCTTGTTTCCCAGCTGAAGCACATCCGCCATTGCGGCGGCAAATTGTATCAAATCAGATGGAAAATTCATGGAAGTTTAATGGGATTTAATGGTGTTCAATGGGATTTGTAATTGTTTAATGGGACTTAAAAAAGTGATTCAATGGGATATTGTCATGGGATATACCCTCTGGTAAACATAGAAAAAGCTATTGAAAATTGCCATTTATGGTGGATTTACCCATGAAAACTTGTGATTTTCCGTAGTTATGTAAAAGATGGACCTATATATCCTTAGCCTTGATGCCGCTAAGGGTACCCTCTGGTTATGTCAAAATAGCTATTGAAAATGGCCATAGAAATAGTGGATTTTCCCATGAAAAATGGTGGATCTTTCCATAGTTATGTGGCTGTTTACCAGAGGGTAACCGCTGGTTTCAACCCCTCGGAAAAATATGAGTCATTTGGGATGATTCTTCCCAACTGTTTCTGGAAAGTCATAATCCAGTCCATGGTTCCAGTCACCACCAACCAGAAATTGGAAGGTTGGGTCATAATTTCGTTTCGAACAAATCGAGAAAGACTTGGAGTTTTTAGATTTGGGTCACACTTTTCTGCCTTCATCGCATCGACACATCGACACCCAAGCGGTGTCAGCTAAGGAGCCTCGCAGCTAAGCCAGGAAACAGCAGCAGGAAACGTCCCTGTTGAAGGTCCCTGAAAAATCCCATCCTAATATTCAACACCCCTATTGCATGGTCCCAAGTACGTGGAAATCCATGGAAATCCTGTACTTTTTACCATGGTTTCTATGGAGTGTTAAATACTAAAGGTAAGGGATTACTTTAATTTAATGAGGTTTAATGATCATGGTCATAGTATGTCATGATTAGTATGGGGGGTTCTTAAAATGGATGAGGGTGATTCCCGAGTCATCATGGTTGCTTCAATACTAAGTCATGGTCTAATGACTTGGATGGTTTGGGGTACCCCCATGACTTAGGAAACCTCCATATGTCATGACAATCCCCCATGTGAACCACGTAATATTGGGGCACAGACACTAGATCACTACAGTAGTAGCTGCGGTGCATACCCAGTTGCCAACGGCTGCTGGATTCAGGCTCCCTAGACCACATAGAATGGCTAGATTTCGTCACCCAAAGTTGAGAAAGAACCTATCAAAAGTTGGGGGCCTATCACCAGCCAAAACAGGGAAGATCATGGAAGAGATTTAGATTAAATGCAGGGCTCTGACCAAGGATGGGAATATTAAACTGTGCCCCAAAGTTGTGTTAGCGCTCAAACACTCATTTTAATCGTCCCAATCCGCTGCACAAAACCGACAGAAAATACTCATGTTTTGGACAACTTGTCAACTTGTATGCCATTTCTAGTCGGAACAGATCCTCGCAATGTGGTACTTCAATGTACTTAAGTTGAAATATACAGTAATAAAAACCATGTCGTTGATGCTACAATCACAACCCCCCCCGTGGACAGTTGAGGAACCCATCCCCCTCCAAGGAGTCTTTGGAGACCGTCCTAGTGATCTCAGTTTCCGCCCTTTTCAGCACTGCATTGACAAATTTGGCGCGGAATGCAAATTGAAATTCTTCCACGGCTGCAGAGATCTCTCAGTGTTCGTGCTCCTGCGCTGGCATCAAAAATGGTCATGATCATCAAACATCATCAAACTATGAATGTTCAAGTCCTTTGGGACCATCGCGTTTGGAGAGCTAATAATATTTAATATCAAAAAACTATCAAAATATGTCCAACCACCAAAAGTTTTGGAATGATCTGGGTAAATGAAATAATAATTCACTAACCTGAAATGTTGGGCCATTTTGGGATGATTCCTCTTAAAAAAACCATGATTCCAGATATTTCGGTCGCAGTGAGGTCGTCGCATCTTGGAAGGTGTTCCACTCAGAGCTGCGGAACTGAACGGTCATTTCACAAACAGGATGGGGACCTAGGACCGACTAGCCTTGATGCCGCTAAGGGTACCCTCTGGTTATGTCAAACGTAGCTATTGAAAATGGCCATAGAGATAGTGGATTTTCCCATGAATAGCATGGTGGATCTTTCCATAGTTTTCTGTAAACGTTTACCAGAGGGTACCTCAAGATATCCGCAAAGACATGGGAGGTTTCCAAAGTCCTGGGGGTACCCCTTTGCATCATCCAAGTCATTAGAGCATGACTTAGACCATTTTAGTATTGAAACCTATGGTGTCTGGGTCACCCTGCCCGTAGCTCATCTGCGATCTCGTCGTTCTCATCGTCGTGGTCTGCCAGTTGCCAGGTTGCTGTGCTTTTGAATTGGCCTTTGGAATGCGGTGGTCATTAACATAGCGAACTGGAGAACATCGTGTTTTTAATATATGTTCAATAGATAAATCATCTTAAGTATATTAAATTAATGCAAATTACAGGCTATTGAAGTCTGCCCTGAGATGGGTGGACACACCCCACTTCAGAATACTGAAGCGAAACACTTTTTTTGGGTAAGTAGCAAAGGCGCACCCTACTGTCATCCCAGATCCATA